GAAGGACTTATCCCAGAGTACACAGATCCCAAACATTTAATTCTAGACTTGAATCCTCCACTCTGGCTCCAAGTCTAGACCTCTTTGTATTGTCCACACTGGTTCTCCCCTCCTCACACCCTGCACTCCAGGGCTCTCCCAACACACCCTTGCTTCCTTGTTTCCATATCTGGCTTCTCTTCTTGGAATGTCAATTGTCTCTTCCCCCAACCTCCAACTCTCCCTTTCCTGATTTTCTTCTGTCTTCTTCCTCCTCATTTCCCTTAAAATCAATTTTTGCTTGGAAACAAGTATGTGGTTGGCATTTGTTATAATTGGCCCTCTGGACACCATTCCAATGGTAGTGCTTAAGGAAGGGGGGTAGTAACATACACACACACACACACACACACACACACACACACACACACTTGTGTTCTATTAGATGGCTCTGTGCATGTAAGTTAGAATGGAAGCTTCTTGAGGGCAGAGACAGTTTCATCCTTTGTCTTTATACTCTTAGCACCTGGCACGGCTCTCTCTGCCAAATTTCCCCCAGCTTGAGCAGAAGCAGGGTTACACCTGGAGCATAGTAGGTGCTTAATAAATAAAAGCCTGCTGATGGATTGATGATTCTGTGTCTCAGAAAACTCCTGTTGAAGAACCCTGTCTCACAGCTAGGCTGTTGGACATGTTGGCTCATTGTAGGATGTCCTGGATGCATCTCAGTATCTGGGGTAGGAGGTGGGGGGTGATCTCATTCTCCTGGATCAATGAGTGACTAGGAAGGGGAGGGTAAAATTTTTTTAAAGGTTTATTGATGTATTTTGATTTCACTTTAAAAATATTTATAGAGAACCCCCATTCCTCCAGAGTAACAAAGTAAAACAATGAAATAAAACTAATAATAAAGTGACTTCATCTGAAAGTACACGAAACTTACCACATCTGTAGCATCCCTACCACCTCTGTATTTAAAAAAGTTTTTTAATGAAGAGAAATCTATTTTCTCTCCCTCTCCATTGAGAAAAGAAAAAGAAATTACTTAAAATTAAAAAAAATATTTAAAAAAAAGAAAAACTATTTAAAAGGAAAAAAAAATTAAATTTGCATAGGCAAGCAAAACAAATTCCCTCATTAACGGTACAGAAAAATCCCAGTCTCATTCTGCATCTTCAATCTCTCTCCTCGGTGTCAGGAAGGCAGAATGTGCAGGAGAGAAGTAGGAGTCTGCTGGGCAGAGGGCAAGCAGGGCACAGGAGATGTGCACGCGAGGGACACCTCCTTTATCCGGTTATTGTTGGGGATGGCTACCAGCAGGCTGATCCTGGGACAAGTTGCTCGATCAATCAACAGTCAATAAACATTTATTAAGCACCTACTGTGTGTCAGGCAATGGCTGGGGCATTTGAACTCTGTGAGCCTCAGTTTCCTCATCTGCAGACTGGACATAATACCTGCATGACTCACTCCCAGGGCTGTCATGAAGGAATAGCTTAGTAAACTCCGGAAGTCTGTGGTGATGTGACTTATTACAGCCGTTGCAGCTGCTCTCAGAAGGATTTCTGGGAAGTGAATTTTCCAGACAACTGGAATTTGGAACTCTCAGTAATAAGTTCTCTAATATGAAGCATTTTGGGCGTCAGTGTATCTAGAATTCCTTGAGAATTCCTTGGGGATCATGCCCTAGAATTCTTTTGAGAAGTACAGAAGAGTTTGTCCTTAAACTGAATGGCCCCAGGCCACTAGCTCTTCTATCCGCTTTTTTTAGTTCCTCTGTCTGCTTTCTCCAGGCTCAGCTGTCAGCTCTCCTTACTGTCAGTGAGCTCTGGTGCTCAACTGAGTGACTGATACACAATTGTCTGGGTGAAAGCTTCAGGGATCTCCTGTGAAATAAAAGGCATGGGCTTTGTGACCAACTGTTGACTGTTCAGAAGCATTTCTGTTGACTGCTCGGTTCTTATGGTATTTTGGATGGTCAAAGATGCCAGAAGTTTGACCTCATGATAAGTTGGATGGAAGGAGAGATGTGAGCTTACCATAGATCCTCATGTTTATATTATGTAGGCATTTCTATTGAACATATGTAAATATGTGTTAGAAAACTAAGTTGCATGATGAGCAGGATGGTTTCAGAAAAGCCTGGGAAGACTTATATGAACTGATGCAAAGTGAAGTGAGCAGAACCGGGAGAACATTGTACACAGTAAAAGCAAGATTGTGTGATGATTAACTGTGAATGACATAGCTATCCTGATCAATACAATGACCAGAGACAATTCTGAAGGACTTGGGATGAAAAATGCTATCCACTTCCAGAGAAAGAACTAATGGAGTCTGAATGCAGATTGAACCTACTTTTTTTGTTTTCTTTATTTTTCTTGGTTTTTTTTTTTGGTCTATGTTTTCTTTTGCAACATGGCTGAAATGGAAATATGTTTCACATGACTGCACATGTATAACCTACATCAAATTGCTTGCCTTCTCAAGGAGTGGGGAGGGGAGGGGAGGGAGAGAATTTAGAATTCAACATTTTGAAAAATCAACGTTAAAAATTTTTACATGTGATTGAGAAATATTTAATGAAATAAATAAAAAATATATTGGGGTGGGAGTGGGGATGGTGGTGGTGGAAGAAATCTTAAGTGGCAATGGAAATTGGTTCCCCATTGTGTTTTTAGCCTTGATTAGGGCCTAGATGAGTCACATCCACTCTGTAGAATTTTTCTCTTTCACTTGAGTTCATATCCTGTCTCTGATGTTTACTACTGGTGTGACCTTGCGTGATTTCACTACTCAGGGCCTCAGCTTCCTCAACTTTAAAAATGAGGAGCTCAGACTAGATGGAGGTCCCTTCCAGCTGTGATCCTTCCCCCTGGTTATTCTCAGCAAACCCTTAAAAAACCACAGTTCCTTCTTCTGGGGATTCTGGGAATGGAAAAAGGGGGAAATAACAGTTAGCTCTATGGGATCAGAAAGACAGAGTTGCAGGAAGGCCTGGCCCAGAGGGCAGAACTAGCATCATTAGGCATAATTGGCAGAGAGGCAGATTTGAGCTTTAGGTTAAAAAAATTAAAGAAAAAAAGAAAAACCTTCTCCAAATTAGGGCTGAAATGGGATTCCTTAGAGGGTATTGAGTTCCCCATCTCTGGAGGTCTTCAAGGAGAACCTAAATGGGTGGGGAGTGAGTTTTCATGTCTAGCAGTCTTCAAGGAGGAAGTAGATGGCCATGGTTGGTGACATTTTGGTGAGAGATTTTTGCTTAGGCATGGGTGGGGAGGCAATTTGAAGTGTAAAGAATGCTGGATTTGGACTCTGGACCTGGGTTCAAATTCCAGCTCTGTGGGACTGTGGGTAAATTGCTTCACTTTCCTGGGCCTGAATTTCCTCATCTCTAAAACACAGGGGTTAGAAGAGATGACCTTTGAGGCCAGTTCTAAATCTATGAGGCTGGGATCCTAGGATGGCCTTGGAGGTCCCTTCCATCTCTCCAATTCTAGGGTTCTAGACTTGGTCAGTCATGGAAATGAGAGGAGACTGCTGAAGCGAGACAGTGGCCATGATGATGGGGGAATCAGAGAAAGAGGAGCATGGAAAGGCAGAAGCGATCCTCAGGGACCCCCCAGGAGTGGGAGCTTATGGGGGAAGGTGCAGGACGGGCAGCACAGTGACATGTGGGTGTAGCTTGGAAGGACTGAAAGAAGGTGCCAGCCTAGACCCAGAGCCGGCGGTTCCCAGAGGGGCTTTGTTCTGTGCAATTGATGGTCAGGGGATAATAGAAGGAGGGGAAATGAGGGAAGAGAGGAGGGCAGGAGGCTTGTGTCCGCCATCGTCCTTTGCCAGAAGATGAGGAGACCTACGGTCTGAAGGAGGGTCCTGCTGGCCAGGCTAGATTTAGAGCTGGCAAGGATCCAGGAGAGCAGCTAGCCCAACCCGCTCACTGACAGTCGAGGGAAGTGGGACGACATGGCCACGGTCCTGCCGGGAGCGAGCGGCAGAGCCAGGATCTGGACCCATGTCGTGTAACTTCACAGCCTTGTAGCTCTCGGGTTGGAAGGGGCCATCTTGTCTAACTCTGTCATTTTACAAAGAAGGAAACTGAGGCCCAGAGATGGAAAGTCAGTTTCCCAGTCACACATGTTTGGATTGTCAGATCCAGGAGTTTAAGCCCAGGTCCCTTGACTCAAGAACCAGGGCTCTTCCCACTGTGCCTTGCTGCCTGCCCGGGCACCTGTGTGTGAATGTCAGCTCAGCTGGGTCCTACCTGTGGGACCCTGGATAAGTCGTTTTCCTTCCCAAAACCTCGGTCTCCTCATCTTCCAAATGGGGATAATTATAGCACCAGTATTGAATGGATTATTGTGAGGCTCAAAAGAAATTGTTTAAATTTGTGATTGGACTTTTTATTTGAAATATGATTTAATTTCTCTGGAGTGAGAAAATGCCTGTAAGCCTATTTGCAAATGTTCCTATGCTCCCTACTCCAGCACTGAGCAGAGCCGGGTACAGAGTGGGTCAATAAGGACTTAATTTATTGATTGTTTTATCCACACTGTCCTTCCTTCCTTCCTTCCTTCCTTCCTTTCTTTCTTTTTCTTTCTTTCTTTCTTTCTTTCTTTCTTTCTTTCTTTCTTTCTTTCTTTCTTTCTTTCTTTCTTTCTTTCTTTCTTTCTTTCTTTCTTTCTTTCTTTCTCTCTCTCTCTCTCTTTCTTTCTTTCTTTCTTTTTCTTTTCCTATCCAAGGAAACCCTGCCTGCAAAAAGTCAATGGCTCCTCTGTCCTCAGGAATACAGACTGATCTATTCCCATGTCATGCCCTCCCTGCCTGCCTCCTTCCCCCAGACAGTGTTGAGTCAGGGCCTGGTCTTTTGGGAAGGGAGTTCCTTCAGGACCTCAGCAGGAGCTTGGGATGTGGCCCCTTCCCTCAGGGCCGTAGCCCTTCCCCACCCTACCCTCGTTCCCCCCTCCAGGACAGGGGCCATGTGACTGTCTCGGTCTGGGGGCCCCTGGAGGAGCCGGCTCCTAGATGAAGCGTTTGTCCTTCTCAGCGTAGGTGAAAGGGTCCCCAGGGAAAGGCTGAAGGGGAGGCTGGTTGTACAAGCCCTGTAGGAGGATCCAGGCAGTGCCCAGGGCCATGAGAGGGGTCACCACAAAGAGGCAGAGGCGATCCACGGTGCGGGCCACTCGACCCCAGCTGTCCTTTTCCTGGGAGACGATCAGCCAATTGATAAGTGTTCATTGAGAACCTTGCCCCGCCTCCCCCACCATATGCTAAGCTAAGGGAACCCAAAGACAGCAGTGAGACAGAGCCACCCAGAGCTGGACAAGCCCCAGAACCCTTCTCAAGGACTCAGGAATGCGTGGAGCAGTCCTCATGAAAGACCCTCAATCTCTCTGCCTTCGTGACCATACCTGCTGAAAGTATATTGTCTATACTGCCTTCCAAAACACTCTCCCCTCTGTGGCCTGCCATCTGGCTTCCATTCCTCTCACTCCACTGACCCTGCAGCCCCAAAGATCACTGGGATTGGAGCAGGAGTGTCTGGTCCTCAGCCTCCTTGTTCTCGAGGGGGTATCTGACACCATTGACCACTCCCGTCCTTCCTCAGCCAAACCCTCTCTGGCTCTTACCTCTTTAAATTTCTTTATACGTATATCCTTGACCAGCTCACACACACACACACACACACACACACACACTTTACAGATCAGGAAATGGAGCCTTAAGGCAATAAGGTGACTCCATAGAATGATATACAGGATCATAGATTTTGAGCTGGAAGGGACCTTACAGGTCATCTAGCCTAACTCCTCCATTTTACAGATAAGGAAACTGAGGCCAGGAGAGGTGAAGAGGCTTGCTCACCCAAGGATATAGGTAATAATGGCAGAGCTAAGATTTGAACTCAGGTCCTCTGACTGCTGCCCCACCACCCCATGCTGCCTCCTCAGATGTTCTCTAGCATTCTGTCCCTGGTCTTCTTCTGATACTCTCCACCTTAGCAGCCTAATGCGCGTCCACACCTCCACTAAAGGCTTTGTGCTGCCGACTCCCGAATCCTCCTCTCCCACTCCCAATGTGTCCTTTCATCTCCAGATCTGTTGTATTCGGTTTCAGAAGGTTTGGGTTCAAATCCCCAGGTTTGCTACCTCTACTTCTACGACCTGGACGCCTTCTCCTCTGGGCCCAGTATTAATGAGCGAGGTTGGCGTGATGGCTTCTAAGGTCACTTTAGTTCTAGAGCTATGAGTCTATGTCTCTTTGACCTTAACTTCTCTGGGCCTCAGTTTCCTTATCTGTAAAATATGGGCTTTGGATAGAGGAGTGGGAGAAGACCCTTGGCCAAAGGTGTGAGAAGGGTATGGATAGGGCAAAGTTCTTACGGCCAGTCCCTGCTGGTCTACGTCTCCATGACAGTCTTAGCCTCTGACATCCTACAAGCCCTGCCTAGCGCCCTCTCTGGATGACCCATAGGGCAGCACTCTGATGATGATGAGGATGGGTGGAGGAGGGCACCCAAGATGCCTTCACGGTATCTTCACCCCATCCCCTCCGCATTCCATCCACATACACCTCCAAGACATCGGTTGGGCTCCAGCCCAGCCCTGGGGGCTAGAGAGAACAGGATTCTCCTGTCATCCCCAAGTGCCGGGGGAATAAGGCGGCTGAGGGTGACCGTTAGCCTTGCAGCGCTATTCTATGCCAGTCATCGGGAGCGAGGGCCACTGGGCCAGCAGATCTCTTAAGTCATGGCGTCCAAGGCTTCTCCCTTGCCCTCTCCAGCCTGAGAGACCTTGCCGCCCCCTCTCACCTCATTGTAGTTGTTCTGATCTCTCATGTGGTTTACAATGAAGTTGGCCCCATCCACGGCCGGCTTTATCTCATTCAACAGCTCTTGATGGGACTCTTCAGACCCTGGTGGGGGCCGCCCTGCCAGGAGACATGAGCATAGGGGGCTCTGGAAGACAGTAGAAACCAGAGTCGGGTCCCCATCTGCCTGCCTTGTTGCACAAATCCCCGTCCCCAGCCCGGCCACTCACGAGCAGGAGTGACCCGGCTGGCAAGCCCATGCCTCTCCGACTGCTTTTCAAACATGAGATCACTGCGGGACTTGACCGTGAAGTATTCCTCAGCTTTGGAGATATATCCCAGAGAGCTGCTGCGGCGAATCTGGGAGCCCAGCACTGGCGCAACTTCTGGCTGGGACATGTGCAGGATCCGGGGCAGGGTCTCCAGGAATATCTGGGGTAAAGAGAAAGGTCAGGGTAGAGCCAGAGCACTTCCTCTTCCTCTTCTCTCTGGACAGACAGATGCCCGGCTCATCTGCCCACTCTGCCCATGGCCCCATGTGGCCACCTCTCCTTCATTTGCCATCTCTCAGGCCTCCCTGCTTATGTGAGAGCCAAGGGGGCAGGGCAGAGCAGCCAGGTAGCACAGTGGATAGAGTGCTGGGCCCGGAGTCAGGAAGACCCGAGTTCAAATCTGGCCTCAGACACGTCCTAGCTGTGTGACCCTGGGCAAGTCACTTAGCCCTGTTTGCCTCAGTTTCCTCATCTGTAAAATGATCTGGAGCAGGAAATGGCAAACCACTCCAGTATCTCTGCCAAGAAAACCCCAAATGGGGTCACCAAGAATTGGAGATGACTGAAAAGGACTGAATAACAGCCACGGGGTTAGGAGACGACGGCCCATCGAGGCGGGCCACACCCTGGGCTGGGTCCTAGAGGATTAACAAGGCAAAACTGAAATAGCCACTGCCTTCAAGGAGCTTATGCTGTATTGGTTCATTAAACAAACATTTATTAAGCCGCCACTATGTGCCAGGTGAGAGGCAGAGTGGACAGAGAGGTGGGGGTCTGGGTTCAAGTCCTGCCCTGACAAGTACTGGGCAAGTCATTTCACCTTGTTCCAGGTGACTCTCAGTGGCTTTAAGTGGCAGAGCTAACATTCTTCTGGACATGTACTGACTGCGTGACCTTGGGAAAGTCACGGCCTCTCTGTGCCATAGCTCCTCATCTGGAAAGCAGAGAGAATTAAAACACCTGCACTTCCTACCTCAAAGAATTATGGTAGGAAACGGGGCTGGTCACCTTGGGAGGGCTGTGGAGATGGGAGATACAACAATAATAACTTGCATTTCTAAAGCACTTTGAAATTTTAAAGGGACTGTGAAATTCATATTATTACACCCATTTAACAGATGGGAAAACTGATGCTCATAGAGGTAAAGTGACTTGCCCAAGGTCATATAACTCAAAAGTGTCAGAGGTGAGATTTGGACTTGGGTCTTCCTGATTCAAAGTCTCGTTCCCATTCTTCCACGCTTTATAGCGGTTAATGTTATGATCTCAGTATCTCTTTTTTTCCTTCTCCCTTCCCTTGTCTTCCCCTCCTCCCCCCTCCTCCCCTCCCCTCTCTTTCCCTCCCCTCCCCTCCTCTCTTCTCCTTTCCTTCTCCTCTCTCTTTTCTCTTTCCATCTAGAGTCACCTCCCTAATCTATTTCTCTTGGGCCCTGGCTCTTCTTTTCTTCCTGCCCCACTCCTTACCCTCCAGATTTTTCCAACCCCTCTACAGGAATTACCTCCCCCCCCCCCCACCCTTATGTGATGTCTTCTTCCACTAGAATGTAAGCTTTTTGAGGGCAGGGACTGTCCTTTTTGCTTGTATTTGTATTTCTGAATCTTAGCACAGTGCCTGGCATACAGTAAGTGACTGACAAATGCTCTCCATCTGTCTGTCATCCATCCCATCTTTCCACCCCTGCTAACTTTTCCCATCTCTTCTCCAGACCCACCTTCCTGACCCACTGCGAGAGGACATGGGTGCTGGGTGTCCGGTGGTGGATGTTCAGGGTGACCACACAAATGAGCACGATGATCGTAACCAGGACCATGCCAAAGAGAAGAAACCTGCCATGGAGAGAGATGGTCCTGAGCCCCGAGCCCCCAGCCCTGAGCCCTGAGCCCTGAGCCCTGGGTCCTGAGCCCTGAGTCCTGAGTCCTGAGCCCTGAGCCCTGGGTCCTGGGTACTGGGTCCTGAGCCCTGAGCCTTGGGTCCTGAGCCCTGAGCCTTGGGTCCTGAGCCCTGGGTCCCGAGCCCTGAGCCCTGGGTCCTGGGTACTGGGTCCCGAGCCCTGAGCCCTGGGTCCTGAGCCCTGAGCCCTGGGTCCTGGGTCCTAAGCCCTGGGTCCTGGGTCCTG